GTCTGACGATGGCCATTCATACAATGTGAACACCTGCTGTCAAGGAATATCCCAGACCAGACCACTTGCTAACCACACTGGCAGAAACCATTACCCCCGGAAAGCGATCCCACTTACTGCTAGGTAAACAGAGGCATGTGGAGTAAGGAAACTTGCCTGAGGTCTCATCATGCCCGGGAATCGAACCCAGATCCCCTTGCTTGTGAGGCTAGCCCGCTAACCACTACACTATGGGAATCCAGGGGGACACCCTGATATACACAGGGTGCTTTGCTCCACCTAAAAGGTCATCTACAAGGGTATGGGAAAAGGGCAGTTAAATGGGACTGAAAGGATTGGTCCAGAGAGAGAGTAGACATGTTGGACCAAATGTGTGGAGTCCTGTAGCTCAGTGGTTAGAGCACTCGCTTTGCAAGCGAGAGACCTGAGTTCAATTCCAGGCAGGGCGAAACCTTGGGCAAGTTTCCTTACTCCACACGCCTAATAATAATCCCTCCAAAACCAAAAACAATAATACAAATTGGTCATTTTCAATCTACAACTGTTTGTGGGACATTGCTGTGCGCAATTGGCTGCTGCGTTTGCCCACAAATATACAGTCAATTCACTTTACAGTGTGCTCTGTGAAGCGCTTTGGGACGTCCTCCCGACGTGAAAAGCGCTCTATCAAATGCAAGGATTAAAATGTACTGCAAATTCTAAGGTTGCAAGATGCGCTCTGATCACACACCTCTGATCACTATCAGACTCTCCCTGACCCTGTCAGTCACTGTGACCCAGAGTATGCTGTGATCACCATCAGAAGGCGTGGACCAGGTTACCAATAATAATCACTCCCCTTTAATAATCCTAGCATTTGATACAGCGCTGGATTAAATCATCGAGATGTCTCAAAAGCGCTTCACATCATATACCGCAAAGTGGAATGACTGTATATTTTGTAGGCAAAACGTAGCAGGCAGTTCCATCTACACAGCAGAGTCCCACAAACAGCCACGGAGTAAGTGACTAATTCTATTGAGGGGCGTGCCAGCCAGGACACCGGGGGAGAGAACTCCCTTCTCCTTTGGAATATTGCCACGGAGATCTTTAAGTTCCCGCCTGAACAGGATCTCGGTTTCATGTCTCATCCTAAGGATGGGTTGTAATGATCAACAGATGAGGTTACTCAGCTTTTTAACTGCTGCGTATAAAAACTCTCAAAGTGGCAGAATGCTTGCCGGTGCTACTACAATATTAGTGCTCTGGGTCTTTGCGGAGATCTAAGCGATCTGCACTGTCCTCTAGTGGCTGATGTCAGGAAAGCTCTACTCCATCGTGCATCTCGTGCTGAAGCATCACACAGCATTTATTTCATGGTTTGCAGTTTCATTGAGGGAGCACTATTTCACTGAACTATTTCAGTGAGAGAGCAGTAAATCTATGGGCCAGGCTCCCTAAGGAAACGACTAAAGTGTAAATTCATTCAAATGTAAATTAGGTTTCTTTTAAAATTAATATTTTGAGATACAGTGGATGAGCAATTTGAGACGTGACATACAGTAAGTGTAGTGTGGCTTGGAAGAAGCAGGCAACTTTGGATCTAACGTTCCCAAAGCTTTCCACTCTGTTGTAGACTGATTCATATAGAATTATTTGTTATCAACGTCTATTATTGTTGTAGCGTGCGACTAGTAGGGTGGTACAGGGCCAACGAGATGGTCGTTTTTCGTCTAGCAATCCAGTGTTCTGTAAAGTGTGACTGTATTCGTGGGCGAACACAGCAGCCCATTTGCAAACAGCAGAGTCCCGCAAACAGCCATGAAGTGAATTGACTAATTCCTCGCCCCCCTCCACCCCGAGGATGGTGGCCAAGTCACCAAGCTCCCTTTTCTTACCCATTGCCATTTGCAAATACATTGCGATAATTTGACAGAAATTCTGCCAAACAAAGTGGGTTGTGGAGTATTTTTCACTTAGGCACCCATTTAGGAAGTATCAAAATATTCTATTCGGACAATCTATTTTCTTCTGTAGCCTGTCACCCAGGCTCAGTTGGTGGCGCTCTCTCCTTTGAGTCAGAAGCTTCCAAAGCTGCAAGAAAAGATCTCCACGAGAGGGTGCCAGACCTCTGCTTATCTGAGAATTTAGTTTGTTCAGTGGAGTTGTAATGTATGGCCAGAAAGCTTGTTCCACTGAGCTCTGTTGGTCGGCGTTTGCTCCTACTTATTTGGGAAAGGAGCTGTGGCACTATCTCTCTTCCAAGGAGATGCTGCGTCTCAAAAGCAAGGTCAGTCAGGTATCAGACACATGCCAAACCCATCACCGTGCTTAGGAGACTTCCATGCATTCCACCTATACACGGAAATTAGAGATGTTTATTGGAATGGAATGCTCTCTTTCTCCCTGGAGGGACGTGCGCTGCTTATCTAATTCCGAAGTGCATTAGTGGCAAGTTGGCAAAGAGCCAAGGCTCGGGGGACCCTAGAGTGTACTTTGGGGTAACTGCTGGAGTCTAACCAGCTAACACCACATAGCTTGATCATCGATAGCACTGTTTGGCAAGCTTTCCCGTTGCTTGTCCAGAGAAAACCTACCTACCCGTTAGAGTTTTGGCTTGCAGGGTTAACAGGAACTGAATGGGAATAATCCCTGTACCCAGTGACTGGTCTGCCCTTCCAAGTCCTACTGATGAGCCAGGCTGGCTGTCACCAACAGTTCCCTGGATTACTGTGGAACCACCCGGCTCAGGAACTGAATTGCCAAGACCACCAGAGAGGGTTAGTTTGATAGTGACATTCTGACTGACCATTGACGACAAGGCTTAAGATCCCCAGAGTTTCACCTGCACATTTCAGTGGTTAGTTACAGCTTCCCTTTCCTCACCTGGTCCTGTGCTGCCATTTATAGGTTCCTTCCGATCCACTGCATTTGCTAGGAACTGACCGCAACTTTATCTTCCTGCACAAAGCATCCTGAAGACATTTTCTCTGCTGAAGGATCTCGATAATGAAGCAGAACCAGGAAGCCGTTAAGATTGTAATCAGAATTCATTGCCAGAATCGATGTTGGCTTTAATGGCAGACAGAATCCACCAGATTTCAATCAAAATAAGACAGATTTCAATTGGTAGCAATTTAGATTTCCATTAGAATTCACTGACCCCAGCTTGTGATGCAACCTGACCCTCATCATTGTGTCACTCTTCAATTCCCAGCTCCTGGCCCGATTTCCAGCTCTGAGACCTTCTAACCTCTAATGCTAGTTGTGCCAGTAATATACAAGAGCAGATATTACAGAATACAAGACAATTTACATTTATACAGCACCTTTCACATCAGGAGGATGTCTCATTAGCTCTTCACACAGTCCTGCAGCATTAGTAGTTAGCACGTTCACCTAGACCTGTGTTCGATTCTCGGGCAGGGCGAAACCTTAGGCAAGTTTCCTTACTCGACAGCTTGTTTACCTAGCAGCAAGTAGGAACCAGGTTGTCAGCTGATTGCCAAAGGTAATAATCCCTTAAAAGAAAAAAAGTGATCACTCAGTCCATGACTGTTTGTGAGATATTGCTGTGCACAATTGGCTGCCGTGTTTTGCCCACAAAATACACAGTCAATCCACTTTACAGTATATTCTGCAAAGCGTTTTTGAGACGTCTCAACTACGTGATAAGGTGCCATATCAAATGCAAGGATTATTATAATATGAGCCAGGGGAGAACTGGAGGGGAGTTTTGAAAGCGGGGAGAGTGGGAGAGAGCATCGAACTTAATGTAAGACAGTTGCAAGGCATTAGAAACTAGGAGAACATTCAACCCGTTGAGCCTGTTGCACCATTATATTAGATCACAGCTGATCTGTAACTTAATCCAAATCCCTGCCCTTTCACCATAAATAATAATCCTTGCATTTGATATAGCGCTTTTCACGTCTTCTAGACGTCCCAAAGCGCTTCACAGAATATACTGTAAAGTGAATTGACTATATATTTGAGGACGAATGCGGCAGCCAATTGCGCACAGCAATGTCCCACAAACAGTCGTGGACGGAAAATGCCCAATTTATTATTGTTTTGTATTTTTGGAGGGATTATTATTAGGCTCTGTGTGGAGTAAGGAAAGTTGCCCAAGGTTTCGCCCTGACCTGCCTGGAATTGAACTCAGGTCTCTCGCTTGCAAAGCGAGTGCTCTAACCACTGAGCTACAGGACTCCACAATGCTCTGCGCTTCCCCTCCACCCATCAAACATTCATCAAAGGCAACAGCAATGACGTTATCCAACATTATCCTTGTATTTTAAAAAAAAATCTCTACCCCACCCTCACTCCCTCACTCCCAACAAAGCCTCCTCTGCACGATACAGAAATCAAGGACAAGAATTCACAATTCTCTAAAACTGTTTCTTGTACAGTGTTTACAAAGTCCTATTACCCCATGTTTTGTTCCTAAAGTGCACTGACCCAGCAATTGAAACATGTGGAAGAATGATGATCATTGTATATAGAAGCACTTCATTGTATTCAGTCCCAAGTGTTTAACTGTATTTAGACGTCCAGAGGGTGGGTGGTTCGGGTGGGTGAGTGAGTGCCATCATTTTCATGGCAGATAACGATTCATTGCCGTTTGTGCCACATCTTCTGTGACATGGATGGAGGAGGTGAAATGCATCTCTGACAGACTGTTTCAGCTCCTCTGCAGTCTCACATTACTGTTTTGCAGCAGGGGATAACAGGACTTTGTGGACACCCTGTACTGAACCTGTTTCGCAATATTTTCATTGCAAACAAACCTGCACCTCCTCACTTCAGACAGGAGAGTGCTGGGTAAATGTCAAACACGCCGAGATCTATTTCAACCGCATCAGGGCTCTGTTGCAACCTCCTCATTGTGTCCATGACCTTGTGCACTCTCCTGGTTTCACTCCCTCCTCCTTCACACATCCTCCACACACTCCTCCGCTCCCCTTTTCCAAGAACCACTGACAAAAGTCTTCATTTTAAACACAAACCACAACAGTGTGTTTTACAATCCATTGCGTGTTTATTATGTCCAAGCCCCTGACACCACCACCCCCAGCAGCACAAACTGCTGTAAGATTTCAGTTGCAACTAGACCACCCAGGATGAGACAAGTACATGAGCTGCCACCTCTGAGTGCACAGCAAGCCACACTGGGAGGATCAACAGTCACTCCAAGAGGGCGTCTCGGTCGATACATCTTCAGCACTCTCAAAGGCTTCCCGTCCCTCGCACAGTGTGGTTGGAAAGTCTCTCCTGGAAAATCAATAGGGAGCGGTCTCTTGACAGCTCACTCAGGTCAGGCTCAGCTCCTGTCAAACAGCTCTCTCGGAAAGGCTTTTAAAGATCAGTCAGAGACCTGGTTTCAAGGAGCTCTTTGAAAATCTCAGTGGAATAGGATTTGCGGGCGGTCAGAGGAGGAGATCACACAAGAGGTCTTCAGTCCCCAGACAGGACATTATGTTCACTGTGAACTGGACAACCAGTTTAGCTAACCCACCATCATGGCTCCCTCCACAGGTACCAATGAACGACAACATTGGTTTTAAAATGCGGAGCTCTCATGTGTAAAAATATTATTCGGATCAGTTCAGTCAATGGGCAAGTCTGAAGTGTTCTGATGTTCTATCTCCCCCTCCCTCCCCATCCCCACTGAAAATGGACATCATCTTCTCCAGACTTGGGTGCCCTACTCGCAGCTCAGTGAGTTATGAAAGCTGCCATGTTACAGCAAAATGTCCGACTCCAGGGGCTAGACAGCTGTCGCAGGCCGCTATACTCCTTGCTCTCCGGCTCTCGGATAAACTCGCTCCCCCAGGACTTTCCTCATCCACTTGTCTCTTATCGCAGGCAGGTCCTCGTACATGTCAAACCCACACCGTGACTCTATATTTGGCAGCTTGTAGTAAAGCAGATGCTTTCTCAAGGCCTAAATGCAACAGACAAGTGAATGCAGTTTGTATAGAGGCTTAACTTTCATTCCCTGAAACACACGATTCTTACGGTTGAGTGAATATTTGTAAATTGAGACCTGACCGGTCAGTGCGGCAGAACAAAGACGTTAACACAGCTGTACTTTATACAGCACAGGTTAGATACAGAATAAAGCTTCATTTGCTGTCTGTACAGCCCTCCCAGGTCAGCTGCAGTAGATAAAATGCAGAGTTCCCTCTACGCTCTGTACAAGGTGGCTCATGTGTGCGCGTGTGATAAGACGATGAGCATTTAATGAAGATAAACTGGATGTGTGTAATACCCACCTCATCAGTTAATAAATAAGCCTTCCTAAGCATGCTCCTCCTGGCAGCGTCAAAGGCCTGTAAAACAACACATTGATCAGTGCGGAAACAGTGGCCAATACATTAGGGACATGTCCTGCAATGAGCTTAAGTGATTCTGTCCCAAAACATTCAGTTACACTGATTTAAATCACAACTCTTTTGGCTGTGATGAACTCCTGTGCGCAAGTGCTGCTGCGTTTTGCCCACAAAATATACAGTCAGTTCACTTTACATTATATTCTGGAGCGCTTTGAGACGTCTTGAAGACATGATAAGGCTCTATATCAAATGCAAGGATTATTATTATTAAAAATAGTTAAGACCCAGTTAGTTAGTGAGTGAGTGAGTGAGTGAGTGAGTGAGTGAGTGAGTGAGTGAGTGAGTGAGTGAGTGAGTGAGTGAGTGAGTGAGTGAGTGAGTGAGTGAGTGAGTGAGTTATATAACTTGTCCTGAAACCCCTCATCCTTGTGGCATTTGGTTTGTCAACTGACAGAGAGGAAGTTCCCTGCACACTGGGTAAAACATCAATGTTAGTCCACATGACTGGTTCGGATCTCAACATTAACTCTTTACATTTACAGCACCAAACTCACCCATTGTAGAGACTCTCAACATCCCAACCAGTAACAAATATCAGGATTATTTATTTAACATCACAAGCTTTGTCTTTGATGTACATTCTTTTTCTCGTCGTTTGATTTTACCACAGCCCACTTTAGCACAGAGAATCCTCCTCATCTCACCATTTCAGTTCAAATGGTTCCCCTTTCAGAATTGGTGACCTGTTGGGGAACTTTTTTTTAAACACTCGGCAGATGGAAGCCAACCAGAGCTGAATAATAATATAATAATAAACCTTGCATTTGATATAGCGCCTTATCACGTCGTTGAGACGTCTCAAAAGCACTTCACAGGTTATACTGTAAAGTGGATTAACTGTGTATTTTGTGGATGAAACGTGCACAGGAACATCAGAGGCAAGTAGCGCATCTCAGAATCCTAATTACTTTTGACATGAATTAGTTTTTACTCAGCGTTCTATGTGGTTTAATCTAGAATAAACGAGTGACTGAAAGGGTTGAGATACGGGCAGTTTTTAAATTGAGTATTTTATCTGCAGTTGAGGTATTCACTGATATGACAATCAAATATCCTAGCAGAGCGATGATGCACTTGTCAGCTGCCCTCACAGCTGATTTATTATACAGTCTGCAGGATGCTAATCCCCAGTATCAGCACTGCACAATGATACAATGCCAGGATTCTGTTTGGCTAAGGTTACATTTAACCCCAAATTCAGCAGAGTCCAAAGCAAAATTGGTTGCGTGCAGCAGACTGACAGTGTAAAATTAGATTTCTTTTTCCCTCCGCAGGTGATTTTTTTTTTTGCCTCAGTCATGGTACCTGGTGTGTGGGAAATCCCCACATATGCCTAACTCGCCACTCCCGATAACTCGTCACTTTTACTTGGAGTGACGAGTTAGCAGGAGTTTACTGTATGTTCCCAGTTCACTGGCTGGTAAACAAGATAAGCGACAAGCCAGCAAGGATTTCATTCCTCCTCTAATCATCAACATCATTGCCTTTAGGCTCAAACCTGCAGTTCTAAATCCAGGGATCTCAACACAAAACACTGGGAACTGAATGAAGCAAGTTTTGGCCATGCACTACATTTTTGTCGACACTTTAAGGCCAGATTCACTGAGCTGCTCTCAAAGACAACAGGATGATTTTTAGCCACGAATGGGAATCTTAGCGAGATGATAGGTTTACCTCATCTACAGTCTCCTGGGAAAAGATGAAACCGTTAACGTGAGCGACAGCCACCGCGTAGAGTACAGGGCACCAGTTGAGACGCAGGGTTCCGGTCACCAGGGTCTTGAAGTACTGTCGGAGCAGCCCCAGGGACCCCTCTGTGGGCCGTGTGTAGGCCTCCAGGGGCACAGGCAGCTGTGGAGACACACGGAGAATGCAGCACTTTGCAACTGGCATCAACGCATAATAATAATCCCGGCATTCGACATAGCGTGTTATCACGTGCTTGAGACGTCTCAAAGCGCTTCACAGGATACGCCGTAACATGAATTGACTATATTTTGTGGGCGAAACAAGGCAGCCAGTTGCGCACAGTAATGTCCTCAAACAGTCGTGCTGTGAGTGACCAATTTTATTTGGGGGATTAATCCCTCCTTGGGTCACTCAATCCATGACTGTTTGTGGGACGCTGCTGTGCGCAATTGACTGCCGCGTTTCGCCCACAAAATACACAGCCAAGTCACTGTAAGATGTCCCGTGAATCTCTGCGAAACGTCTCAACAATGTGATTAAGGCGCAGGGATTGTTACCGACATCGTTATTATTGCTATGACGACACACGTACCCGGTTCAGCGGGACTCCCAGGGCTCGCAGAACCCCGACATGTTCCCCGAAGACGGCTTCCCGCAACTGGACGCTGAACCTCCTCTGCAGCGGGAGCAGCAGGAAGCAGCCGAAGAGGTGATCGCCGAACGAGACGCTCTCGAACTGCTGGAGGAGATCCACGTACAGGTCGTAGAAGGAGCTGAGGCCGGGCAGCGGGACGCCAAGGTCCAGGGCGGCCATGCGGCTGGGCTGGCAGAAGGTGGCCAGCAGGGCCGACAGGTAATCGTGCACCGGGCGCTCCAGGAACAGGTCGCTGCCCGTCAGGAAGACGCACGTGAGCCGGGCCAGTTTGGCGGCCGGAGCCAAGCTCCGCAGGAGGCCGTCCCGCCAGGTCTCCAGGAGCAGCAGCCACTGCAGGCAGCCGGTCACTCCGGCCACCAGACCTGGGGGCAGCGAGCCCACCAACTGACCTCTCAGCTCCTCCCGGCTGGCTCGCTCGTACAGGGTGATCAGCGGCAGGAAGGCCCAGTCGGCCGGCAGGAGAGGACCCGTCATCTCAGGCAGCAGCAGGGAGCTGACCGAGTGGGTGTTGCCCTTATAGCAGGCCTGCGACTGCAGCAGTGCAGGCCGCAGCTGGGCCAGCTGAGCCAGGTAGCCGGCCCGGATGCTGGGTAGCTGCTTGAAGGCTTCGGCCAGCAGTGTCCCTCGGGTGGGGCTGGGATGAGCGCTCGCTCCAGGGTCCTGGTCTGTCCCGAGCCGAAGGATACAGCGCAGGTCCTCCGCTTCGGGCCCGCCAGACTTCCCTTCCCTGCAGGTACACATAAGGCACAAGACAGCAGAGGGGTTAGAGACGGGCCCCCCCTCCAAACACCAGCTCAGCATCAAGTGCTTACTCAATCCTCCAGATACACTGCTCGGTCATCTCATGGCTGGAAAGTGCACTCGCATCCTGCTTACCTAATTCAGGAAAGTATTAGGCGCAAGTTGGCAAGAGCCAAGGCTTGGGGACCGCAGAGTATGAGTTTGAGTAAGTGCTCCGGAATCTAACCAGCTAAAACCGCATAGCTTGCCATTGAGAGCACTGTCTGGCAAGCTTTCCCGCTGCTTGTCCAGCTAGGGTTTTGGCTTGCAGGGTTAATGGGAGTTAAGTGGGATGACTCCCTGGCTCCAGTGACTGGTCTGCCCTTCCAAATCCTGCCGATGAGCCAGGCTGGCTATACTATCATCAGCAGTGCCCTGGAATACTGAAGACCCACCTGGCTCAGGAACTGGACTAGAGACCGCCACAGAGGGCTGGCTCGATTCCAACATTCAGTTGCAAAACATCTCACCTTGGAACTCGTTCAAGTCCAAGAAAACCCCGCTTACCCCCCGACCGGACAGGTTAAACGACCTGTTCATCTGATAACAGAGCTCCCTGCAGCACTGCGATGGAATGTCAGCCTGGAATATGAGCTCAAAGTCCTGACGTGGGGCTTGAAACCACAACCTTCGGATCCAGGGACAAGAGTGCTACCGACTGAGCCAGGCTGTCACTCAGCACTAAAGCTAAGCAACCGAAGCTGATCCTAATAAAAGCCAGTTACCCTTCAATCAAATACTCACGGGATCAGGTCTTGGTTGAAAGCCAGGCCTGACAGGAGCTCGTGTGCCAAGTGCTCGCTGCCAGGCAGCAGCCGGCTCAGCAGTGTCATGGTCACATAGTGATAGAGCGGAGCGTGAAGGGAAAGCCCACAATCCACAGCAATCTGAAAGCACAATGAAAAGATGCCGACAAATTCGCTGGGACTTTACCAGGGATAAGAACATAATAATCCTTGGATTTGATACAGCGCCTTATCACGTCATTGAGACGCATCAAAGCGCTTCACAGAACATACTGTAAAGTGAATTGACTGCCTATTTTGTGGGATGAAGCGTTTTAGTTACGAAGAGACATTGGAGCACGCTTTTGTTTATGAGAGCTGAGGTTAAGCAATGACCTGACAAAGGTCTCCAGAGATAATAAGAGTGGCAGTCGGGTGAAGAGCAAACAATTATTTCCACTGGTGAGAGGCCACAAATTTAAGATAATCCGAAAAGGAATTAAACCATTTCTCTCTGCAGAGTCGGTGTGGAATGTGGAATTATCTGTCACAGACTGCCGCTGAAGCTGGCTGTCCATCAATTCTTTTATAACAGAATTAGACTTCCCGTTTAGATAAAGATTTAAATTGAGTCACCCTCTTTGGCAGTCCTGAGCCAGGAACGTCTGCAGTACTTCAAGGCACTGCTGTTGACGGTCAAGTCAGCCTGGCTCACTGGCAGGACTTGGAGGAGTAGACCAGTCACAAGAGCTGGGATTCTTCCCACTCAGGGTCTATCAACCCTGCAAGCCAAATCTCAAGTGAGCAGGCTGGTCCGGAGCAGCTAGCCAACCCATTGGGAAGCTTGCCAAGGTTTGTAATCTAGCAATACCCCAAGGCATGCTCTGAAGTCCCCAAGCCTTGGTTCTTGCCAACATGGGTCTAACTTCCCAAAAATTAGATGTGCCCCTGTGAGCAGATTGTACACTTTGTAAACAGAAACTATAGCCAGTTGACCTCTCTCAGTAGTTGGGTTTGGAGACTCCAGCATAGATTTCTGTACACGTCAAATACTCGGCTGACCAAACCCAGGTAAACAACAACACGTGCCTACTTCAGCCTGTTCTCTCTCACTGTAAGGTGGTGAGGAGTGAGAACTGTGGCTGATTTTCCCCCTCTGTAACTCGGCGTCACAGAGGCTAACAGTAGCCCCCAACTGCTGGCTAAATGCTGGGTCATTGAGCGATGGAGTCTGTGCGTGGACAGAGTGAGTGAGGCGGCGGCATGTCATGTCAGGGAACTCACCACCTTGGAGGCCAGTTTGAGAACCTGGAACTGGAAGTGGAACTCGTGCCGTAAGAGCCAGGCAGAGGCGTGGGTCACCGGCGGTGTCCCTTTGCTGCTGCGATTCAAGTAATCCCTCAAGGCTTTGCTTTGCAGGACAACAGAGAACTATAACGGACACAGGTGGAAATCGATCAGTCAAAAGAACGTGCGTCTTTACAACAGCTTCTCACATCAATACATCTCAAAGTGCTGCCCAGCGTAGTGAATGTTTTTTGTGGCAAATCTAGCAGCCATTGAATGCACAGCAAGATAGTCCACAAACAGCAGAGAAGAGACAGAACAATTAAACTGAAGGATTGTCAATGAAGACAGCGCCTTGAGATGTCCTCCCGACGTGAAAGGCGCTACACAAATGTAATTTATTGTTGTTGTTGGTAGCAACTCGCTACTCTTTTCAAACAGTGTCACAGGTTCTTTTAACATCCACCCGAAGACCAGAGATCAGAGAGTGATCGCTGGCTTCTGGGAGGTTAAATAGGTAATGATAAGAGCAGGATTAGTTACAAAGCCATTCAACCAGTGAGGGTCAGTCAGACACACACACAATGACAATGAGGGGCAGTCAGACACACACAGTGACAATGAGGGGCAGTCAGTCACACACAGTGAAAGTGGCGGGGCGGTCAGAGGCAGAGAGTGACTGTGAGGAGCAACAACGACAACAACTTGCATTTATATAGCACCCTTCAGGCGGGGTAGCGTCCCGGAGGGCTTGAGGGGCAATCAGACAACACTGAGTGACAATGACAGAGGTGGAGGCACAGAGTAAAGAAGGTCTTACCTGTTGTACCAAGCCTTTGTGGGCGCTGCAGATGCTATTTATTAAACAGAGCAATGCCGTCAGAAAGGAGAAGGGGGATCGAGCCCCGAGTAGGCTGAGGGGCGGCTTGCCACCAGCGCAGCTCAGTGACACAAGACTGTAGATAGTCTCGGGGCCCGGAGAGCAAGACGTGGGATTGCACAGGGCCGAGCAGGAGCTGAGGAGAGACAGTACCGCAGTCAGACAGGGAGCACCATACTGAGGGGAAATCAGCAACACAGACTACAACTACTTACCAGCAATCAGCAAGACTTGGTGTCTGATAACACACTACCGAGAACTTCACCTGTCCTCCGGTATGGCACAGATAGGTTTCACAGTATCTGTCCAGCTAGGGTTACACTTGCTTTGTGGGACTGAGGTCTTCGTCTACCCGTCACTGCTGAGCTAAGTGGGTAACCCATCAACAGTGGCGTAAACGACTGCAGATCTGCTCCGCTTTACCACATACATGTCTTCAAAACTAGCTCAACACAGGACGAGGCAGACACCGAGAGTGAGAGATGGTCAGACCCTCAGAGTGACAGTGTGGGAGGGGCAGAGGAGTGGGAGGGGGTCAGACACACACAGTGGTAGCGAGGGGCAGTTACACACACGCAGTGACAGTGAGGGTGGGGGTTCAGACAGAACGACAGTGAGGCACTGAGTGAACAGTATCTCAGTCAGTCGATCAGCATTTCGCCCTCTGGTTTTAGACAGTTCTGAGAGTTTAGTACTCATCTTCACTCTCTGAGACACCAATGGCAGGCCTGGATTTCCTGTTTAGACGAGCAGGAGTGTCATCACCTGTGTGCACCAGAGAGTTAAGCAGAAACTCAGCTTCTGTATGTTCTCAGGAGCTGAGCGCAGACTCTGAAGCCCAGCGAGATCCGTCTGTAACTTGCCCTCAAACCACTGGCTTACTGTAGATTACAGGATTCGTACAGCGACAAGACAAACAGGCTTACATGAGATCCTCAAACATGTTCTGCACTGCCGGCAGCTTAAGCAACGGCAACAGGACCTCAGAGGAGAACGTCTCCAGTTCTTCCAAACACTCCACCGGCCTGTAGGAGGGCTGTAACAAATGGAACAGTTGACAAGGAGACCTGACCAGGCCAACTGACTGTACGTACCTGAATCAGTCTCCACACGTGAAGACAGGACTATTCAGACCTAGCTGATTAGAACTTAAGAATTTGCTTGTCGAAAGAAGGCCAAGGTCCATCTAGTTTACCTTCCACCGTCCTGGCAGTCACTATATACTGTACCCAAGATATTATTTTCTAGTAGAAATCTATCTAATTTGTTCTTGAAACAACACGCTGCTTCCACCTTCTGTCTCTCTAGGGAACCTGTTCCATAAGGTTATTATTCGCTCACTGAAATAATGCTTTACACAGACAGGCTAGACACACACAGACACCAGGCTAGAAGGGCACACAGACAGCCAGGCTAGAAGGACACACAGACAGACAGGCTAGAAGGACACACAAACAGATAGGCTAGAAGGACACACAGACAGCCAGGCTAGAAGGACACACAGACCGATAGGCTAGAAGGATACAGACAGACAGCTTAGACCAACACAGGCAGCCTCCAAGCACAAAGACAGACATGCTAGCACCACAGACAGTTGAAGCTGAAGTGTAACCTGTTGGGGAAGCTTGCTGTAATAGGCTGCCAGGTAGATCATGTAGGTGGAGGTCAGTTGCCTCTTGGCTCCCCATATCTCTGAACAGCTGATGTCTCTGAGGCAGCTCTTCAGACAGGCCAGCAGGAAGGGCTTGATCCCAGCGACATGGCTCCAGTTGACCGGAGGAGGAGGAATATGTTCAGTCTTGTCCTCGACACTGAAGGAACACAATACAAAGGTTAGGTCACTCACTTCACTGTTACTCTGCTGTCTGGAGTCCTGGAATCTGAAGCAGGCCGGTGTCCACTGAGCACAGGGAGTGAACGGGTTGATCAGGTTTGAGGAGGTCCCAGAGGTAGGGTGGGGCAAGACCATGGAGGGACTTAAAAGTTAGGATGAGGATCCTGAGTTGATCTGATGAGGGATGGAGAGCTAGTGGAGCCGGGCGACTATGGGGGTGGTATTTTTGCCTAGTGCAGGACAATTACAAGGATTATTATTGCGGTTATACATCAGCAGCTGTACTGAAACTATTTACAATCTGTATCGGCGAGGCATGCTGTCAGAAAGAGACCAAGGAAAATGTTTTGAGTAACATGGTGTACATGAATAATAATATATAATAAATAATAATAACAATCCCTGCATTTGATGTCGTGCCTTATCATGTTGTTGAGACGTCTCAAAGTCCTTCACACAATATACTGTGAAGTGTAGTGACTGTATATTTTGTGGGAGAAACGCGGCAGTCAATTGTCCCACAATCAGTCATTTATTGAATAACTGCATTTTTTTAAAAAAGGGATTATTACCCCCTGAAAAGCGATCTACCAATCGACTAACAACCGGGTTCCAACTTACTGCTGGTTAAATTGAGTTGTGTGGAGTAAGGACATTTACTTTAGGTTTTGCCCGGCCTGGAATCAAACCCATGTCCTTTCGTGTATTTTGTCGGCGAAACTCTGCGGCCAATTGCGTACAGCAATGTCCCACAAACAGTCATGGATTGAGTGGCAAAATTAGCATTATTTATTTACTTACTTTTTGAAGGGATTATTACCCCCCAGAAAGCGATCCTCCAATCAACTAACAACTGGTTTCCTACTTACTGCTATGTAAACAGAGGTGTGTGAAGTAAGAATTAAGGTTTCGCCCCGCCCCAAGTCCTCTCGCTTGCAAGGTGAATACTCTAATAATAATAATCCTTGCATTTGATATAGCGCTTTTCACGTCGGGAGGACGTCCCAAAGCGCTTCACAGAATATACTGTAAAGTGAATTGACTGTATATTTGTGGGCGAACGCGGCAGCCAATTGCGCACAGCAATGTCGCACAAACAGTCGTGGATTGAAAATTACTAATTTATTATTGTTTTTGGTTTTGGAGGGATTATTATTAGGCTCTGTGTGGAGTAAGGAAACTTGCCCAAGGTTTCGCCCTGCCTGGAATTAAACTCAGGTCTCTCGCTTGCAAAGCGAGTGCTTTAACCACTGAGCTACAGGACTCCACAATACTCTAACCAATACGCTACAGGACACAATGAGTGGGAACCCCATGCACAGACTTGTAGTACACGAGGACACATTTCGCTTGTTTTCATCAATGACCACGTGATATTGACTAGCCAGGAACCCCAGTACTGCTGTTTGTGTTCTTTGGTGTCCCATTTGTTTAATTAAAATGAAATCCTCTGAAAGGAGTTTCCCTGATACCTCAGGGAATTTGCATGACAAGCAGCTGAGCCTCAGACACCAGCGACAGCTGAGGTTCATTCTCTGCCTCTGGGCTGTTAGCTAATATATTTGATTGTTACAATCGGTCTCATTTCTACTAGATTATTATTATTATTATTATGATTATTAGATGATGTTCCTAGTGTTGCGTAAAACTGCATAAAGTGAAACAGCTCGGAAACAGGTCAATCGACCAAGCTCAACTAGTTTACACCAGTGTTTATACCTCCACTCAAGACCCCACCCTCTCCTATTCTCTATTTAACCTCTCTATTCCATTCATTCTCTCTCATGTGTGCATCATAGATTAAATAAATAGTATTAAGGTTATAAATTTACTAAAACATGGAATCAGGCCACTCAGCCCATCCAGTCCATGCCAGATGGACCTACTATCCAACAACAACAACAATAACAACAAGATTACATTTGTATAGCGCCTTTCACGTCAGGAGGATGTCCCAAGGTGCTGGACAGTTTACAGCATTTCAGACCCGAGCTGGGGTCAGGAGGGGGGAAAGGAGAGGAGGGGATGGTGGGTGGCCGATGGCATGGTAATAAAGGAGGGTCTTGAGGCGGGACTTGAAGGAGGCTAAGGAGGGGACGAGGCGGGATGGAATTTCAGAGTTTGGGAGCAGAGTGGCTGCAGGCTCTCCTGCCAATGGTGGGGTGGGTGGGTCGGGGGACGTGGAGCAGGCCAGAGCCGGCTGAGCGGAGGGAACGGGCGGGTTGGTAGGGGATTAGGAGGTCACAGAGGTAGCGTGGGGTGAGGCCATGAAGGGCTGTGCAGGTGAGGACCAAGATCTTGAACTGGATTCTCTAAAGGATAGGGAGCCAATGGAGTCGGGCGAGAGTGGGGGAGATGGGGTCATCGAGTTTGGTGCGGGAGAGGACATGGGCTGCAGAGTTCTGGATTATCTGCGGCCTGTGGAGGGAGGAGTTGGGAAGGCCGACAAGCAGGGCGTTTGCATAGTCGAGCCTGGAGGTGATGAAGGTACTTATATAAAGTCCAGCGTTTATACTCCACACAGGTCTCCACCCACTAAAATCAGAAAATCTACCTTCCTATTGAATGCATCTACACTGTTTGATTCAGCCACTGCTTCAAGCGAGTTCCCTCTGTGTGAAGAGGTTCCTCTTAAATTCTCTCTTAGATCTCCTAGACCCTATCTTATCCTTGTGTCTTCTGGTTAAGGATTTCCAAACAAGTGGTCTCATTTACAAAAGACAATGTACCTAGTGTTTCATGGAATTGCATAGGGATTAGTACCCCTGCAAAGTGATCCTCCAATCGACTAACAACCGGGTTCCTACTTACTGCTTGGTAACAGAGGCATGAGGAGTAAGGAAACTTGCCTCAGGTTTTGCTCTGTTTGGGAATCAAACTCAGGTCCTCTCGCTTGCGAGGCAAGTGCTCTAAACAATGAACTACTCCACAAAGACACAATATCAAATGCAAGGATTATTACTGTTGTTGTTGTTTTTGTAATGTATTGCTAGCAGCTACCTGCAGGTGAGCTGTGCATGGAGGTCCGCAGAGCAGCCTGCTGTGTTGGTGACGTTGACTAGCAGGATGACCAGGGCCTCGGCTCTCTGCGAGGAACAGTTGCGTAGAGCATCCCCTCTCGCCGATGGGGCGACTAAGCTTGGCAACTTCTGTAGGATCTTCACCAGCACCGGATACAGATCTCTGAAAAACAAGAGAGACTGAACTCAGGCCCACCACACATACTGCCCTCGCCACCCACCGACCCTCCCTCCCTCCCTCGTAGTGTTGCAGACTCACTTGTACAGGTCACAGGCCTGTGCATAGCTGGCAGCGACAGCCCAGAGCCGCAGAGCCTCAGTGCAGAGCCAGCAGGAGTCTCCCTCCTCCAGGGCCAGGTCTCCAGGATCCTCAGCCAGAAACCGTCCAATCCTTCCCTTCAGCTTGTATTTATTCAGCTAAGTCAAACACGATAAGGTGAGAGTATGTTCATAATACTGTGATCACCCAGCATACAAGACCTTTGTAGGCTCCCTCTACACTAAGTTCCAGATCAGATGGAGCCACTGTTCTCTGGGGCTGCTGTCCATCCTTCGGGTAAGACATTAAACCGAGGTTTAAGTGGACGAGGTTAAAGATTTCATGGCACTATTCGAAAAGGGAGTTTCTCTCTCCCAGTGTCCTGGCCAGCAATCTCCCAGATAAAATTGGTCACTCACTCCATGGCTATTTGTGGGGCATTGCTGTGTGCAAATAATAATAATCCTTGCATTTTAAATAGCGCCATTCATGTCGTTGAGATGTCTGAAAGCGTTTCACAGGATATACTGTAAAGTGGATTAACTGTGCATTTTGTGGGTGAAACTTGGCAGTCAATTGCACACAGCAGTGCCCCAAACCCAAACAGCCATGGAGTGAGTGACCAATTTTATTTGGGGGATTGTTTGCCAGGACACTAAGAGAAAGAAATTCCTTCTCTTTTCGAATAGTGCCGTGGGATCTTCAACGTCCTTATGAACAGGCAGACAGGATCTCGGTTTAACGTCTCATCTGAAGGACAGCGCCTCTGACAATGCAACACCCCCCCCAGCGCTGCATTAGAGTCAGCTCAGACTATGTGATTCCATGTCCCGACGTGGGGCTTGAACCCACAACCTTCTGACTCAGAGGTGAGAGTGCTGCTACTGAGCCAGACTGATACACAAACAGCCACCGAGTGAGTGAAATGAAGGATGCAAATAATCCTTACCAGAATAGCTGACATATGGCGACCAGCTGAAGCCAGGACACGGAGCAGTTTCATGGCAGCCGCTGAAGGCAGCCCATAAATGCTGTCCACCATCTGTCCCTCCTCAAGAGCAGGTACTGACCAGGTGGCCGGCAAGAACTCCCTGACGATGGTCTCCATCAGTCGCGGGCACTCAACAATCTGAGACAAACACATCATCAGTTTGGGATCCACACACAGCCCAAGATATGTTACACATCAAGCAGGACCATAGAATTGTTTTGGGTAAGCCTGACACATGCAGAAACCCAGCACCATGCTTAAGATCATCCAAACGAGACTGAAAATTCCACATATCAATTTCCCTGTGACCGGAATGGAATGGGCACTCTCTCCATCGCAGGACACACCATGCTTACTTAATTCTGGAGTGTTAGGCGCAGGTTGACAAGACCCCAGAGTATTGCAATGGGGTAACTGCTGGAGTTTAACCAGATAAAACCACATTACTTCAATAGTCCTGTCTGCTAAAATTCCTGCTGCTTGACCAGGTAGCACAACCCTACTAGGGCATTTGTTGCAGGGTTAACAAGAGCCGGATGGGAAGAGTCCCTGCCCTTCAAGTCCTACCAGTGTGCCAGGCTGGCTGTGCTGTCATTAGCCGTGCCGGGCTGGCTCAGAAACTGGGCTACCAAGACCTCGCTGCAGAGAGAGGGCTGGCTCGATTCTAATGTTCTGACAGTCAAGTATGTCAGCTTGGAGCCAGTTGATTTCCAAGCAGACCCTGCTTACTTCCTCTCTGCCTCCCAGTAAGGATAATCACTAACTTTTGCACCACAAACATCCACAGAAGTTTTCATTCTGTCCCTTCCCCACAACCTTTCATTTTTAGAATGCTACGGTGTATAAATGCTTTATATTCAAAACGTTGCGTCTCTGACAGCCTCGATACTAACGGGGAAGCCCATGGCAACAAAATAACCCGCCCACTTTAATCCACGTTACGTGCCGTGGTTGTGGCCCCGAGCCAGAGTCTGACACCGCTTATTCTCCCCTTCCTTAGTTCAGGCTCGCCCGTGTGAAAGATTACCTGACTGCAAGCTTCAGAGGAGTGCCTCGCGATTCGGATCAAGATGTCGAAAATTTCAGTAACCACCGAGGGGACGGGACGGACAACCTCCAAGATGTAGCGTAGACGGTGAAGAACTTTCATCTTCAGCAAACCCTGGACCAACACCAAACACGACAGGTGAGCGACATAATAATTATATCATAATAATAATCCTTACATTTGATATACCGCCTTATCAAGTTGTTGAGTGGTCTCAACGCGCTTCACAGAAAAAAAAAACTGTAAAGGGAATTTACTGTGTATTTTGTGGACGAAACGCAGCAGCCAATTGCACACAGCAATGTGTCACAAACAGTCATTGACTGAGTGACCAATTATTTTTTAAAGGAATTATTACCCCCTGAAAGTGATCTGCCAATCAGCTAACAACCGGGTTCCTACATACTGCGAGGTAAACAGAGGCGTGTGGAGTAAGGAAACTTGCCTAATGTTTCGCCCTGTCTGGTTCACTTCATGGCTGTTTGTGGAGCATTGCTCTGCACAAGTTGGCTGCTACAAATATGTAATTGACAGTAAACTCTATGAAGCACTTTGAGACGGCTCGATGAGGTGATAAAGTGCTGCATCGGATGGAAGGATTATTATTGTTACTGTAAAGATTGTGGGCTCTCAGTGTATAGCTAAGCTGTTGCACTGTTACATGTTCCTGGGGCCCTCCTGGTGCTCATTTGATCCACCTTAAAACTGTGCAAACGCGAAAAACAGGCATTTCTAAAGAGCTGTAGACCTTCAATTACTGTGGAGCTTCACGCTGTGGGAGCTGAAGGGCTGCTTTTATCAAAGGCGTGCTCCAGACTGATAAGCTGCAGCATCACACGCTCAGCGATCAGAGCAGCATGACTGCCAAAAGACAGACTTGAAAGAAAGAGGCAGGCGTGAAATCTGTGCCAATGTGATATGAAGTGACGACTGTAATACACCAGGCATTCCCCCCCACACCCTCCCCCCATTACACCAGTCACCGGCAGCCTGCCTCACATGCCAGTCTTCATATTGAGAATAATAATAATCCTTGCATTTGTTATAGAGCCTGATCACGGCCTCAGGCTCCGCCACTGTTAAGCGCTCCGAAACGCTACCCTGTGTGAAGGGCGTTATGTAAATGCAAGTTGTTGTTGTAAAGTGTCCAATAAAACACAGCAGATTTTACCTTAATGATATCCACATGAGCCACATCTGGATCAGGCTTTTTCTCATCTTTGGAGACAGGTTTGTGCGGCTGCTTGTCCCCCGTCGGCCTCAGCTCTTCCTCTTCATCATCATCATCTTCCTCCACTTCATTGGGCAGTAGCGGAAATGTCCCTGCCCCCAGGTACCATGAGAACGTCTGATCAAGATATTCCTTTGGATGAGAAGTGAATACTGGAATATTAAATAGCCGCACAGTCTCTCTCACAATCGTAGAAACAGGCACAGTCGCTCACATAATATTCACTCACTTGCCTTCACTCACTCTTGCCCGCACGCCCACTGCCTGTCACTCTTGGAAACCAAATTTTCATCGTCCAACTTCACCCTAGTTACTGAACATCAGGCAGCATTTTAAGGGAAAGGAAATGAACGGTGCTAAAGGGATCCGTCCAAACCTAAGTATCGTGGAGTTTGAGCGGAATAAGCACCTTTTTTATTTTGTTCAGCCAGATGTCTGACACGTGAGGAAGGAAGCCCATCACCGTGCTTAAGGGTATCCATACCAAACTGAGAATTCCTACACATGGAAATTCCAGACATAGATTGCTGGAATGGAATGCGCACTCTCTCCCTGGTGAGACATATCCCGCTTACCTCATTCCGGAACGTAATAGGCGCAGGTTGGCAAGACCCAAGGCTTGGGGACTTCAGAATGTGTGTTGGTGTAACTGCTGGAGTCTAACCAGTTAAAACCACATAGCTTGCCATTGAAATTGCTATCTGGCAAGCTTTTCCACCCCCCCCACCCCCCCAACCCCGTTTGTCCAGCTAGGACCAGCTTATCCATTAGGGGTTTGGCTTGCAGGGTTCATAGGAGCTGAGTGGGAGGATTACCTGCCCCAAGTGAATAAGGACCCAATACAGCTCGAGATGTGGAATTGTAGAATTTTACAGCACAGGAGACCATTGGCCCACCGCAAGCAACTGTGGCTCTGTGACAGTTACTCCCATTCCTATAGAATGGAGGAACGATTTTAAATTGCAGTGTAATTGGGAATATGGTTGTTTTAAGTCACGCAGAAAACTAATTTCCCAAATTGGACAAAGATTAAGCACGAGAACGTATACTTTAAGTGAGCGAGATTTGGCCGGCTGGCACGAGGTGGAATATAGACCTTAGAACCTGTGAGACGTTGAAGAGAAAACAGAGATGGTCAAAGTGCGGAGTCGAGGGTGTTGAGCATCTCACAGCCCCTCAGGATGAGGAAGGGGGAATGGTAATCTGAGGCTTACCTCATCACCAGGAGACACGAGTAGTGCCCTGAGGGCCTGGACACAGGCGGCGATCACATTGTCAGCGCTGTCGTCCAGCGAGAACCGCAGCAGGAAGAGGAAGCCGGCGTCCAGCAGGATGGCCAGCAGGCTGGGTTTGATCGAGGACGAGAAGACGCCATCTTTAGCCTGGAAACGTGAAGAGTGCGGTCACTGCGACGCCAGCACCACTGGCTTCAACTCACTGACAGGACGTCAAACAAAACCAGCGAGAGCCCAGGCTGCGTGGCCTCTCCCTGTCCTTCACGGCCACATTCAGTGTCCATCCCCACCACCCCCGGTCAGAGGCTCCCCTCCCTCCTGAGGGTCTCTCAATCTGCTATTGAAAGTGTGACCTCTCTAAAAACCCACCTTCTGGACAATATGAGCCAGGGTCTGAAGGGCTAGAGTCCGCTGCTGGATGACCTGACTGCGGGACAAGTGGAACAGCTCCTGCAGTGAGTACCCCGCTTCCTGGAAGAGAGCATCGGGAAAGAGCATTAAAAAGGGAGGAAAAGATATTATTGGGAACACTCACTCCCATCCTATTGGGAATTCTACCAACTCCCCCCCACCCCCCCTCCCCCACAGTATATCGGTGTCAACAGCAACGACAAATTTACACTCACGCTCGCCTATCCTACCGTCACTCGCTCGCTCACTCCTCCCGAAGTCAGTCGCTCGCTCACTCCTCCCGAAGTCACTCGCTCGCTCAGTCCTCCCGAAGTCAGTCGCTTGCTCACTCCTCCCGAAGTCACTCGCTCGCTCACTCCTCCCGAAGTCACTCGCTCGATCACTCCTCCCGAAGTCACTCGCTCGTTCACTCCTCCCAAAGTCACTCGCTCGTTCACTCCTCCCAAAGTCACTCGCTCGTTCACTCCTCCCGAAGTCACTCGCTCGCTCACTCCTCCCGAAGTCACTCGCTCGCTCACTCCTCCCGAAGTCGCTCGCTCGCTCACTCCTCCCGAAGTCACTCCCTCACTTTCCCTGATGTCACTAGCTCACTCCTCCTGACGTAACTCGCTCACTCCTCCTACTGTCACTCATTCTCTCACTCCTCCTAAAGTGACTCACTCACCCCTCCAAGGAGCCTGGGATAGAAGGCTTACACAGGTTGGACACAAGTCGGTTAGTGGGCAGCTCTGGTACTTTATACAAATTCAGTCACTAACCACAGCAAGAAAACCCTTTAAAGAGTCAGTGAACACTGTAAGTCAGACACCAATGTGTGCAAGAGCTTGAGCTTCCTGTGGCTGGTGTTCTACAGCAACAGATAATAATAATGAACCTTGCATTTGATATGGCGCCTTATCACGTCTTCAAGACGTCTCAAAGTAAAGTGAATTGTCCGTATATTTTGCGGGCGAAACACGGCAGCCAATTGCCCACAGCAGTATCCCACAAACAGATTATTTCTGAAGATGAAATATTGCAGGTAATCCACTGAGGGAGCAGGTAATCTACTAACAGCATTATTAATCCAACACCTGTTCTCCAAACTGTAGGCGACTGCATTTTGTGGGCGAACGATGAAGTGAATGACCAATTAAATGGTTCAGACCAATTAAAGCTTCCAGACATCTCACCTCCGGCTCTTGCCCGTGATGGTGCAATCCCAGGTGAGTAGGAAGATCTGTGTCTGCGGGGATTAAGTCTCCACGGAAACTAAAGCGAGCCTGCATCGCCTGGTGTAAGAAAACAAGGAGTAAAAGGGTAAGAAACAACCACAATAAATTGCACTGGGAATATTTTATTTTCCAGTTCAATGATGTGAGAAAAGTCAAACAACAACAAAACCAACTTGCAGCACCCTTCACGCGGAGTAGCATCTCTGAGCACTTAACAGTGCTTAACTGACCCCCCCGGGGAGGGAGGGGTGAGGTGGCCACAGCCCCGATCAAAGTGGAAGGTCTTCAGCTGTGATCTGAAGATGGGAAGGAAGAGGCAAGGAAACATACGCGTCACAAACACAGGGAAGGTGTGTGCTGCTGGAGGCTGAGCTGCAGGCATTAGAGGATAGAGGTACAGGCTCACACCAGTTTAGCCTCTCGCTGCTCCATGTCAGGTAAGGCTATTGAGTCTATTAGGTCATGGTATTAAAGGGATATGGAGCAAAGGCAGAAAAATGGAGTTGAGTTGCACATCAGTCAGGATCTAACAGAACAGGTTCGAGGAGGTGAATGGCCTCCTGTTCCTATGTTCGTGTCAGCACTGATCAACAACAACCATTTGCTTTTACATAAAGCCCTTCAAGGTGAGGGTGGGGAGTCTTGAAAAGTTTTTTTTATTACAGTATTCAGCCTCAGAAGCAGAGCCCCTCAGCACAAACAGAAAAAAAAGTTCTGCTTCGAATGAACCGACTCCGAGCCTTGGGATGTCCTCCCGACGTGAAAGGCACGATATAAATACAATTGGTCGCTGCTGGTTTTGACTCAGGTCCTGTAACCGAGCCTCACCTTCTTGGTTTTCCGCTTCCTGGGTTTGGGCAGATCCTTCATCCATTCCAGCTTCTCGGGCTCCGGCACATGCATATGGACCCAGTTCTTCTCAGGCTTGAAGGGAAGGTTGTCCTCTGTAAAAAGGCAGCGTTGTAACGGACGCCTCTCCATGATCATATCCATTCAGGGCATGTACATGTGAGCAGACACACCCAGCCCACTCCTCATACGCGCGGACTTAGAGACAGACATCCAGATCATTCCCCATTCACCCCCCCCCCGCACACGCACATACAGAAACTCTCCTCACTGCCCTAAATTCTTCTAGCTGCATGTCCCATTCAGGGTAACAGCTGTACTGTGACCATGACATTCCAGCAGATATAACTTGCCTGTCACACTGCGTCTACATGTCCAGTCTACTTTACACTTGTGGGCATACATTGACAGTGTGCAGCCTATTGGTGGGTGGGAGGGTGGAAAGGAACAGGGTTTAATTTTCTGAAGCTTCAGCCAATACCATTCAACAGAGTATTCAAAGCCCCTGCAGGAAGTTCCCAAGAGCTCACCGTGCCAAGACTAATCACTCCTCGCTCAATGTATGGCAGCTGCAGGAGAGTGCTCTGGCTCAGGAGGTTTTAGTGCAGGGAATGAGGTCTTCCCCTTCCTAAAGCAGCACTCCCCCAGCATGGCAATGGAGCATCAGCCTAGAATATGTGAGCTCAAAATCCCCACGTGGGATGTGAATCCACAACCTTCTGAGGCAAGAGCGTTACCAAATGGGCCACACTGACTGGGCCTAGGCTAAAGTGATGCTTTCATTTAAAATCAACAGTGGATTTGGGCTGCCACCTTCGTCACCGGGACTTTGTTGTATTGCCCAGATCTGGCTGACCCTCGGCAGGTATATCTATTGCCACACGTACCTGTCACTCTCACATCCTTTGGCTCTTCCTCGTCTGGGCTCGGCTGTGCTTTAGACTGAGATTGCTCCTGTTCTGTCCTGGTTATTTCCATTTCATCCTCAGTCCCTCTCGCTGTTTCTCTCCCCGATTTCCTGGATTTCAGGAAAGCAACTAATCCTGGGTCTAGTAAAATAGAGAAACAAAAAATTCACCCTACAGCTATGGAAACAGGAGGGTCAGTAGCAGCGGAGGGAGTGGAGTCATGTAGTTCCTGCTTATAAAGAAACCTAGCGTGCCCAATGAAAGTTTCTGCCCCAGTCTTTCAGTAATAATAATAATCCTTGCATTTGATATAGTGCCTTATAGAAGGAATAGAGGAGTATGGGAGAAGGGAACAGGAGGGGTAGAGGCTCATGTGGAGCATAAAAAGCGGCATGGACTAGTTGGATAAACGGCCCATTTCCATGTAATAACTTTCTCCCTAATTCTATGCAACAATGCAATTCCACATTTCTTCATGAAGATTTACCAGCATCAAGTGGTGTTGTGCTTTGCCATGAGCAAACCAGTGTTTAAGACTTCAATACGCTGAGCAGCCATTTGCAATTGTCACTTTCGACCCCGAAGCAAAGGAAATGCTTCACTAGCATTTAACAATTCCACTTGAGCTGCCTGATAACTGAACCCAAGGAGGTTTGTGCAGCACACTCAGCATTGATCGGTACGTCCCTCACACAAAACTCTAACCGTGCTGCCTGAAGGCCTGCTACCCATCCCCCACCTTCTCCACCGGTGGCCGAACCTTCAGCTACTACACCCTTAACCTCTGAAACCTCTTCCCCTATGTCTCACCCCACTCCCCCACCCTCTCCATCTGTCTTTAAATTTCGTCTAAAAACCTACCTCTTCGGCCACATCTTTAGTCAATTCCCCATATTTCGCCACCCCCCCCCCACCCCATTTCTTCCTCGCGTGGCATCCAACTACGTGCTTGTGAATGGCTCCGAGACATTATCATTCATGAAGACCGTTATGTAAATGTTATTGCATGGAAAGGAAGATCATTGCAATCTCTGTACAAATTGCTGGAGAGGTCACACAGTGTTATATCCAACCACGTGCGGTGACACCACAACACGTTGTTCTGCTGAATCTACAGTGCACATGGGACAACAACAGTGCAATTAGTCTGTAGCCCTCAGCCTGGCAATAGCAACTACACTTGTACAAGCTTAAGACCTCAGTTAAGGGATACATCAGAACTTCCTCCATTCAGGACGATACCACAGCTTTCTCCATCGAGGGCCAATAGCAAGCAAGGACACCAGAGGATTTTCCCCGTGTCGTCAGGGGCACTGGGCTCCATTGCAGAAACCCACTGTGACCCCCAACTAATTCAACTCAATGAGAATCAAACCTGACAATGGAACCTGGGACCTCCCTGGCCGACAAGGCTCAGTTCGACCCTCGCTAGTGAAGCCACTGAGGGATCTTATGTTTGAATGTTTACCGTGACAGTGACTCTACGCGACAGACGGCACTCACCCAGCCTCATCAGCAGGTTTTTCCGTTCCTGCTCGATCTCCTCTTCAGACATGGCCTGCAGCCTGGCCACGTTCTCGGTATGAATGCTCTGCGCTTCCTGGGAAATCATTCTACCGCCTGCTCCCTTTCCAGCTTCATATCTCTGTCCACCCGAGGCTGTGGGATAAAGTCAATGAGGCGGGTGCCATCTCTCTGTCTCCAAGCCATTAAAAATAACGTGGAATTTATATAGGGCCCTTCACACAGGGTAGCATCACTGAGGGGTGGCAGAGCAGAGCTTGACGCCAATCCGGGGAGAAAGGGGAGGTGGCTGTAGGCACATTCAAAGAGGAAGGTCTTCACCTGTGATCTGAAGAGTAAGGCGGAGGGATTGAGGCAGAGAGTTCCAGAGTTTCGGGGCTTAGTGGCTAAAAGCACGACGACAACAACAACATGATTATATTTTTATAGCGCCTTTCACGTCGGGAGGACGACCCAAGGCACTGGTGGAGCGGAGACGACAAGGGACAAACAGGAGGCTGGAATCAGCTGAGCAAAGGGGGCACGTAGAGGACTGGAGTATGAACAAGTCAGAGAGGTAGGGAGGTGCTAGGCTTTGAAGTGATTTGTACGTGAGTGTAAGGATTTTTAAATGGATCCGTTCTGCAATCGGGAGCCAATGGAGCCTGGCGAGGTCTGGGGTGATAGGGGTGTGGAGTTTAGTAAGGTTCAGGATCCAGGCGACGGAGTTTTGAATTAAACAAATTAACAATGAGCACAAGGATTTGAGCAGCTCTCAGTGAAAAACCACTCGCTGCATTCACACAGCAACAACACAAAATTAGATTTATATAACACAACCTCAATAAAACACTGTTCCTCTCCTCCTCTCATTTATACTCAAAGGTTTCATGAGGCAGAATCTATGCCCAGACTGTGTCAGTCTCCAGGTGAAGACTTACAGGACAGTGAAGAGGTTTTAGGCTGTGACAAGATAAGTCAACTGACATTTTCCCCTAATTTACCTGGCGAGTTGCGATTTGCCCGTATCTCCTGGCTGATGCCTGTAAGACAGGACCCACTTGCCCTCTGCCCTCTATTGCCCTGGGGAGTGGGGCAGGGACCAGGTGCAGTCCTTGCCTGCTCAGCTGCTTTGTTTGCTGCAAATTTCTGAGCGAAGATGCTTTTCTTTCCTGAAGGCGGCTGTGCCTGTGTGAGAAAAACAAGCACCATGTTACAGAATGTTTTTGATGCTTTCTGACTACTGAAAGTCACATATTAAAGAGCTGCACTTTTAGCTAATGGAAACTCCTCACTGAGAGACTGCAGTATTCTGTAATTTCTTCTTTATCGTTTCCTGAGCTCTTCTATCTGAAGATTCGCACTTTCCACATAAACATTCCCAATACCCAATTTCATCCCTCTTGTCCTGCAATGACACAGGCATCCAGTGAGCACACAATTTACCCATGGACAGAAACATACAATGCTCACTGGAAGTGCATATTTACATAGGGAAAACACTGGACAGAGTATCCAAAAAGTCTGGTTACCCCATTACAAAACAACAATACAAAACTACGGAGGAGCTGAAACAAGCTGTCAGAGATGCATTTTGCCTCCTCACTCCATCCACGTTACGGAAGATGTCACACTGAACACGGTGACGGAACATTATCCGTCATGAAAACAATGGCGCTCACTCAATCACTTAAACGTTAGACACTTGGACTGAATACAATTAAGCACTTTTAAATACAAGTATCATCATTCTTCCACACGTTTTAGTTGTTGGTCAGTGCACTATAGAAAAAAAACACATGGGGGTAACAGGACTTTGTGGACACCCTGTACAATGAGAGAAGCTCCCTGTTTAAACACTAACATGGGGTTAGGTATTTTTAAACAGAGCTCAGCAATTTAGTGCACCACATGCTGGTGCTCAGATTTTAATTGGCCTCTTGATTCTTGGCATCAGAGATGCCTCCTTGGTAATTACAAACCCGTCTGGATCTGACAGTTTGGTTCCATCAATCTGCCAACTGCCAAACGTTCACATTTACAATAATAAATTGGTCATTTTCAATCTACGACTGTTTGTGGGACATTGCTGTGCGCAATTGGCTGCCGCGTTCGCCCACAAATATACAGTCAATTCACTTTACAGTGTGTTCTGTGAAGCGCTTTGGGACGTCCTCCCGATGTGAAAATCACTATATCAAATGCAAGGTTTATTATTATTATTATTATTTTACAAGGTGCTGTGGCGCCTATTACAGCCATGCAGTCTCCAATGTTGATTGGGCACCAGCACCCATTTCCTGACACTATTCCCATAGTGATGTCCCGGCTCTGACTGGTTTGACAGACGGCATCAGTTTTACAAACGCAAGTGCTAACCAAAGGCTCACCTCTTTAAAGTCACCAGGTACCTCGCTCTGCATTTCCGAGCGGTGGAACACCTTGGGGAAGGCTAGCCCTGTGGACAAAGGGAAGGAAATGGGCATGTTGCTCGTGTCTCTTTCCTGTAAAAAGAAAACAGAAAGATCAGTGAGGTTGAGAATTCTCCCCCTTCATCTTGCCTTCTCTCCATCTGTCTTTAAATCCCACCTAAAAACCTATCTCTTTGACCGTGCCTCTGGTCACCTACCCTTCTCCCTTGCTCAGCGTTCAAAGACGCTGAAGTGCTCAAGATATTAGCCTACGTGAAGGGTGCAACAGAAATTGGAAGTTTTGTTACACCTCCATTTATCTGCTAAAGAGTCTCTTAGCGTAGTGATTAGCGTGCCCGCCTCGCAAACAAGAGGACCCGGGTTTGATTCCCGGGTGGGGCAACACATTAGGCAAGTTTCCTTTCTCCAAACGCCTGTTTACCTAGCAAAGATTAAGAACCCAGTTCTTAGTCGGTTGGTGGATCACTTTCCGGGCGTAATAATTCCTCCAAAAAAAAAAAATGTGGTCACTCGATCCATGGCTGTTTGTGCTGTGTGCAATTGTCTTCCCCGTTTCACCGACAAAATACACAGACAATTCACTTTACAATCTATTCTGTGAAGTGCTTTGAGTCATCTCAGCGACGTGACAAGGCCCTATATCAAATGTGCTTGCACACACGTGCGCGCACACAGACACCTCCCACTTGTGCTTAAACTCACGATAACTTTAGGCAGGACGGCCATGATGTGCTGGTCCTGCTGTTCCATCGATGCCTCAATATCCTCCTCGAACTGCACTTTCCACGGCTTGAGGCGAGACTTTTTCGGGGGAGCTGGCTGTAAGGTCGGGGGGAGGTCAGGAAGACCTGGAACAAGGCCGATCAGAAAGGGGAACAATTCACAAGTCAATGTAATAATCCTTGCGCTTGACACAGCAGCTATCATGTCAAAACATCTGTGCTTAAAGCTTCACAAGCAAATGCGGTGTCAGCAACTTGACAGCAATTCCCTGTGCATATCGAGTGTTCGAAGGCAATCACAACAGCCAACCTGTGCACAGCAAGAATAAAGTGACCGATTTTATCTGGGGATTGTTATCCAGGACACCGGAGAACTCCCTTCGCTTTTCAAGTAGTGCCAAGGGATTTTTAATGTCCGCCTGAACAGGCAGACGGTACTTCAGTTTAATATCTCATCTGAAGGACAGCATCTCCGACAACGCGGTGCACCCCTAGGGACTGCGTTGTCACGTAGGGCATGGACCAACAACCCACTGACCCAGAGGTAAGAGTGAGCCAAGTGAGCCAGGCTGACACCCATATAGTTAAATGCATTAGATGCTTCGCCTTCAGCACAACCCCAGCATTGGTACTGTCAGCTTAGACAATATGAATTCAAAGTGCTGATACAACCTTCCATCTGAGGGGAGAGAGCGCTACAACTACAACAACTTGCATTTATATAGTGCAGCTTACGTACGGGAGCGCCCCAGAGCGCTTGTCAGTGACGGAGCATGACGCCCGGCCGGGGAAAGGGGCACAGTCTAGGAGGAAGGTCTTCAGGCGCGATCTGAAGGTGGGGAAGGAGGGGGAAAGCCGGAGGGATAGAGGAAGAGTATTCCAGAGTTTGGGGACATAGTGGCTGAAAGTGCAGCCATCGGTGGTGGAACGAAGGTCACCAGGAACAAGCAGGAGGCCGGAGCCAGGCAGACACCCTTCTCAGGTTAGGCACTCTGGAAAGATCTTTACCTTCTTCACCTCTGTTGTGTTTATATTGTGAAAGCCTACCTTCCAGAGTGACCTTGTCCCTTTGCTCTTCATTCCGTTTTCCGTCACTGGCCACATTTTCTGACTCCACTTTCCTCTTGTCTGCTTTCTTTACCACAGTGACAGCGGGAGAGGCTCCTGATCTCAGGAACTCTTGTTGGAAACGAAGGAGGTCGTCCTCCGACTCACCTGGTCTGGGTCTGCCCAGCATCCTGCCACAATAGGCCACTGACTCCTGTCAATTAAAGCAGCACAGGTGTGTTTCAGGACACAACTAACAGGACAGGTACCAAATTTCACCCCCAGGCGTCCGGTTACTAATCCTTCGATCAAGTGGAGCCCATAAATTATTTTTAGAGGCAATCAGATAGATGTTTGAAAGAGAAAATATTAAAGGGTATAAGGAGCGAGCAAGAGGAGTGGAGTTAGATTCCATGGCTTAAACCCAGTCTCTCCATTGTGCTGCCCCGTTGCTCAATCTCTCAGTGACAGTTACTCTGCCCTGGTGTTAGAGTATGTGTGGGGGGATGTGTCTCTCAGTGACTGTCACTCTGCCTTATGTGTAAGTCAATCTCTCGCCCTCAGTCTCTCTCTATTGTCTTTCTGACTGTTACTCTGCCCTGTGGGTGACTCTCTGTGACTGTTACTCTGCCCTGTGGGTGACTCTCTGTGACTGTTACTCTGCCCTGTGGGTGACTCTCTGTGATTGTTACTCTGCCCTGTGGGTGACTCTCTGTGACTGTTACTCTGCCCTGTGGGTGACTCTCTGTGATTGTTACTCTGCCCTGTGGGTGACTCTCTGTGACTGTTACTCTGCCCTGTGGGTGACTCTCTGTGACTGTTACTCTGCCCTGTGGGCGACTCTCTGTGATTGTTACTCTGCCCTGTGGGTGACTCTCTGTGACTGTTACTCTGCCCTGTGGGCGACTCTCTGTGATTGTTACTCTGCTTTGTGTGCTGTTTCTATCTCTGCGCGTATTATTCTGCGCTGCCTATCTCTTTCTCAGCGTGACTACCACTCTTGCTCTACTCGCTTCTTTCACTCTCAATTTCTTTTTCGCGCTCTCGTGTATCTCTGTACCTCTCCCTCGCGCTGTCTTTCTCTCACACGCTCCCTATTTGTCTCTCACACTCACGCACTTTCTCCTTATCACACACTCTCCTTTTCTGTGAAATAAAAATATTAAAAAGAACTGCAGAATTTCCAGCATCGGCAGTATTTTGCCTTTTGTTTCTCCCCGTCTCTGTCTCTCTCACTATTACACTCTGTATCTCCGTCACACAGTCTTTCTCTCCCACACTGCCTCCCTGTTTCTCTCACTCACTGTTACACTCTCTCTCTCACACTCTCCCTCTCTCTATCACACACTCTCTCTATCACACTCGCTCTCTATCACACTCTCTCTCCCTCTCAAACACTCTCTATCACACACCCTCTCCCTCTCCCTCTTTCTCCCTCCTCCTCCTCCCTCTCACTCCCTGTGTGTCTCTCTCCCTGTGTGTCTCTCTCCCTGTGTGTCTCTCTCCCTGTGTGTCTCTCTCCCTGTGTGTCTCTCTCCCTGTGTGTCTCACTCTGTGTGTCTCACTCTGTGTGTCTCAATCCCTGTGTGTCCCCTCCCTCTCACTGCCTGTATGTCTCACTCCCTCTATCGCCCTGTGTGTCTCACTCTGTGTGTCTCTCACTCTGTGTGTCTCTCACTCTGTGTGTCTCACTCTGTGTGTCTCACACTCTGTGTGTCTCACACTCTGTGTGTCTCTCACTCTGTGTGTCTCTCACTCTGTGTGTCTCTCACTCTGTGTGTCTCTCACTCTGTGTGTCTCTCACTCTGTGTCTCTCACTCTGTGTGTCTCTCACTCTGTGTGTCTCTCACTCTGTGTGTCTCTCACTCTGTGTGTCTCTCACTCTGTGTGTCTCACACTCTGTGTGTCTCACACTCTGTGTGTCTCACACTCTGTGTGTCTCACACTCTGTGTGTCTCACACTCTGTGTGTCTCACTCTGTGTGTCTCACTCCCTGTGTGTCTCTCTCCCCCTCACTCCCTGTGTGTCTCTCTCCCCCTGTGTCTCTCCCCCTCTCACTCACTGTCCGCTCTGTGTGTCTCTCCCTCCGCACCGTGTGTCTGGGGTTTCACTCACTGTCTCGCGCGCGCTCCGCTCACAACAGCGTCCACTTCCGCCCCGCAACGTCCACTTCCGCCCCGCAGTGTCACATGGACAGTCCCCCCCGCCCCTGAGTCCCCCCCACCGCTGAGTCCCCCCCACCCCGCTCCCCCTCCTCGACCTGCCCCCCCCCCCCACCACCACCACCACCTACACAAAAGGGGAGGGGACTGTCTGTGTACACACTCTTGTGCAGTGGGGGGGTGGGGAGCAGTGTGTACACACTCTTGTGCAGTGAGGGTGGGGAGCAGTGTGTACACACTCTTGTGCAGTGAGGGTGGGGGACAGTCTGTGTACACACTCTTGTGCAGTGAGGGTGGGGGACAGTCTGTGTACACACTCTTGTGCAGTGAGGGTGGGGGACAGTCTGTGTACACACTCTTGTGCAGTGAGGGTGGGGGAGAGTCTGTGTACACACTTGTGGGGGGGGTGGGGGACAGTGTGTACACACTCTTGTGGGGGGGTGTGGGGGACAGTGTGTACACACTCTTGTGGAGGGGGTGGGACAGTATGTGTACACACTCTTGTGGGGGGGTGGGGGACAGTGTGTACACACTCTTGTGGGGGTGGGGGGTGGGGGACAGTGTGTACACACTCTTGTGCAGTGGGGGGGAGGGTGGCAGTCCCTGTACAGACTGTGCAGTGAGATCACGGTCCTGGGTTGAGATGTTCCCATCTGCTCCTCACCCACAAAATACACAGTCGCTCAATCCCACGTCTAACGTTGTCCAGTCCGGGGGAAGGGACAGAGTGTTCATTCACAGAGCACAGAACTGCAACCCTTTTGTGTCCGTCTGTGCCCGCGCGTGTGTGTGTGTGTGTGTGTGTGTCGGACACCCTTGGTCTGTTTCTCTTGGGTGAGGGACTCATTCTTGCTCCTGATCCCATCCGTTACAGCAAATCACAAAACACTGCAGATGCTGGAAATCCCAAACAAAAACAGAAGTCACTGGGAAACACTCAGCAGGTCAGGCAGCATCTATGGAGAGAGGAAAGTGAGTCACCATTTCAGGTCCACGACTCTTCATCAGAACTGGGCTGAACTTCGAGTGTTTCCCAACCACTTCTGTTTTTGTTACACACATACATTGCAGCATATGACATATATATATGTAGAGAGAGAGAGAGAGAGAGGGCTGTCACGTTTGTATTCTTGAATACGTTTGAAATAAAAGTTTGAAATAAGCAACTCGTGTGTTGGGTCTTTGCGAGAATGCATCCCACCGAGCCTTAAGCCATGTTACAGTAGTGGAGAACCCTGGAGACTTGCCCTTACTTACAGTACTATTTTCAGTCAATTCAGTCAATATACGGGTAATTCACTTTACAGTATAGTCTATGAAACGCTTTAAGACGTCTCAAAGACATGATAAGGCACTATATCAAATGCAAGGATAATTATTATTATTATATCTGTTTATATCAATGTACAGGAGAGGCCAACTGCCATAACCAGCAATGTCAGTCTGTATTGACAATAGTCTGTGAGTTTGGCAGAGAGCAGCCTGTGCCAGTGCTGGGAGAGCTCAGTACTTCTGAGGCCACCAATGGAGCTGAATATCTGGGTTCATCAATTGTCACTGTCTAAAGCAATCAGGATAGACACAGTAGCTAGAATGACCTCTGTTCCCATCATACTTTGTCACCCTGAAGCTGACGAGGTCATTCATGCTAAGCTGTGTTGCCCACAAGGAAGCTCGCAGGGAATTCCTGGTACCAGCCATCCATCTAGTGAGGGGTCAAACCTGCGCTTGTTGGATGTCAAATGACCAACTAGTGTCTATCCTCCTTCAGGGAAGGTGGAGGTAAACAGGGTCTGCTTGGAGCAGAACGCAAAATACTGCAGATGCTGGAAATCTGAAAACAAAAACAGAAGTCGCTGGGAACACTCAGCAGGTCAGGCAGCATCTATGGAGAAAGGAAAGTGAAGAGTCACTCCACTTTCAGGATGGAGAAAGGAAAGTGTTCTGACGAAGGGTCTTGGACTCGAAATATTGACCCATTTTCCTTTCTCCATAGATGCTGCCTGACCTGCTGAGTGTTCCCAGCGACTTCTGTTTTTGTTCTCCTTGGAGCAGAAATGGCTCAGAGGTGACATGTTTGACAACATAATGTAAAAATTGAGCCACCGGAATTTGGTAAGCGGGATGTGTCCCTCCAGGGGAGAGCGCACATTCCATTCCAATAAAAATCTCTAGAATTGCCACCCAGCTGACCAAAGAAAATGAAGGGATCAAGGGAGGGGGCAACTTCTGTTTGAGACAATCTATGTGGATGCACACTCCAACTCAAGGCGCCAGTGTGGAACCTTGGTATCTTGTTCGACTCTCAATTATCCTTTATACCTCACATCCGTGCTCTGACCTGTTCACCTTTCCCCCACCTCTGCAACACTGCCCGTCTCTGCCACTATCTCTCTCTTCGAGCTGCCGAGACCCTTATCCAACCATTCATTACACACAGTCCAGACAACACCAACTCTCTGCTCACCAGACTTCTCATTTCTTCCGTCTTCCAAGCTCAGAACACCCAGAACTCTGTAGCCTGGGTCCTCTCCCTGACTAGGCTCTGTGAACCTGTCACCCCCTTCCTCACCCCAGCTCCACTGGCTGCCCATCCTCAAGAGGATTGAGCTAATCTTCTTCACTAGTTGATCCTCATCTTCACTTTTAAATCTCCCCAAGGTCTTGCCCCACACTTCCCTATGGCCTTGTTTAACCCTACCAATCCTCTCTTGCTCCTTCTGCTCAGCAGGCACTGGTCTGCTTCATGTCCCGTGCCCTACTTGCCCCACATCATCATCGGTCGAGCCTTCAGCGTACTTGCTCCCACGCTCTCGAACTCTATCCTGAAGTCCCTTCGGATCGTCCCTTCTCTCGCCTCTTTCAAGACCTTCCTCCTTGACTACCCCTTAGGTCGTCTTTCCCCCGAAGCAGGCTAGCAAGAACAAATTCTTGACGAGCCCCCGAAGCGTGCGCTCGGGGTATTGCCGGAGATTAATTAGTTATGACTGTCATTTCAAACACTGACAAGCTTTCTGCTGCTCACGGTTCATTTTCATTCCAATTTCGGCCTGCGGTGTTGGTCGGAGCCACCAGGTGGTGCAATTGGCTCCTGGACAAATGGCAGCGTGGCACAGTTATACCATCTGCTGATGAATGTCGGCGGGTTGAGCTGGGGCGGGTGGGCGGGGGGTGGTGGGGGTGGTGTGCAAGGCAAGGGGGGGGGCAAGGCAATGAGGGGACAACTCAACAAGACCATTAGAATTCTGGCTCTTGTACAAGCAATTCAATTCATAAGGAGGAACAAGATAATGAATCTGGGTAAGACATTGGTTGTGCTACGGTTAGACATAAGCTGGGCTCAGTTGGGAGCACTCTCACATTTGGGTCAGAAGGTTGAGGGTTCAAGCCCCACGTTGGGAATTTGTACTCACTGCCTCGCAGCTGAACAAAAGAACGTAAGAATTTGCTTGGCACGGAAGACCAAGGTCCATCCAGTTCGCCTTCCACTATCCTGGCAGTCTCATGACATAATAATAATCCTTGCATTTGATATAGCGCTTTTCATGTCTTCTCGACCTCTCAAAGCGCTTCACAGAATAGACTGTAAAGTGAATTGACTGTATACTTGTGGGAGGAACGTGGCAGCTAAATGTGCACAGCAGTGCCCCACAAACAGTCGTGGATTGAGTGACCAAATTATTATTTATTTTGTTTTTTTTCTTGAGGGATTATTATCAGGCTTGTGGAGTAAGGAAACTTGTCCAAGGTTTCGCCCTGCTGGGAATCGAACCCAGGCCTCTCGCCTGGGAGGCGAGTGCTCTAACCACTGAGGTACAGGGCTCCACATGTTGGATCCCAAACTATGTATTATATCCCGAGTTGCTATTTCTTAACAGAAATCTATCTAATTTATCCTTCGATGATTCGATACGTTCTGTTTCCACCGTCTCCTGATGGATCCTGTTCCATACATTTACGTGTACATATTGCATTGGACTGATGTCCAATACACAGTGTTGGAAACAACATTGTCAGAGGTTCCTTCAGATGAGACATTAAACCGAGGTCCTGTTTTGTGCCTGGATGTTAAGGGTCCCAAGGCACTACTTGAAAGGAGAAAGAAGTTTCTCTCAGTGTTCTGGTCAGATAAAATGGTCACTCATCACATGGCTGTTTATGAAACAAACCCATGCACGAATTGACTGCCACGTTTGTCGACAAATATATAATCACTGCACTTCACAGTAAATCCTTTGAGAGGTTTCAAAGACGTCATAAGATGCTATATCAAATTGCAAGCATACAGACATACAGAGAATTATAGAAAGAGATGGAAAGTTAGAGAAAGAAACCCTGTGAGAGAAAGAAGGGGAAATAGCAGGAAATTGGGATTAGGACAAATAATTTTATTGGAAAGGTAAATACCAACACTAATGTAATGCGTCAAATAGCCTCCTATTGTGTTAGATATTTGCAGATCTGATCAAACCTTTGGAGACCTGTAGCGGATTCATTAAAGCATTCGCCTCGCAAACAAGAGGACCAGGATTTGATTCCCAGGCAGGGCAAAACCTTAGGCATCTTTTCTTACTCCACATGCTGCTGTTTTACCTAGCAGTAAATAGGAACCTGATTGTTAGTTGATTGGCAAATTGCTTTCCGGGGGTAATAATCCCTTCAAAATGAATAAACAAATAAATAAATAAATAAATAAAATATTAATAATAATTTGGTCACTCAATCTACAACTGTTTGTGGGAAACTACTGGGCACAATTGGTTGCCGTGTTCCCCCAGAAAAATATACAGTCAATTCACTTTACAGTATATCCTGTGAAGTACGTTCAAACGTCTCAATGACGTGACGATGTGCTGTAACAAATGCAAGGATTATTATAAACCTGGAAGAAATGATGGTTTTCTGCCCTCTAGTGATTTTGAGATGCAACTCTTTACCCTGGATCCCTAACAGTAAATACAATTAACATTCATGTCATTTTTCAGGTTGGGAGACTGTCTCAAATTGCTTCATATAGCTTCCTGCACCCCCGAGCTGGAAGAAGGAGCTGAAAAGGATGGGGGTGCACGCAGTCAAGGAGGTAAGTCCTAATACAGGTTTAAAAGTGGGGAAGGAGGTGTTAGATGTGTTCGCTGAGCGAAGGGAGCAGCCGGGAAATAGAAATGATTAAAAAATGAATCTCACCTACAAACAATAATAATCCTTGCATTTGATATAGCGCCTTATGTCATCAAGGCGTATCAAAATGCTTCACAGGATTTCACTGTGCACGCATGCACAGTCACTACACTTTACAGTAAATCCTGTGAAGATCAACAGCTTGATAAGGCTCTGTATCTAGTCCTTGCATTTGATAATAATAATAATCCTTGCATTTGATATAGCGCTTATCACATCTTCCAGACATCTCAAATCGCTTCACAGAATAGACTGCGAAGTGAATTGACTATATTTGTGGGCAAAACGCGGCAGCCAATTGCGCAGAGCAGCGTCCCACAAACAGTCGTGGATGGAAGTGACCAATTTTTTTTTTTTTTTTGAAGGATTATTATCAGGCTTTTGGAGTAAGGAAAATTCCCTAAGGTTTCTCCCTGCCGGGAATCGAACCCAGGTCTCTCGCTTGCGAGGCGAGTGCTCTAACCACTGAGCTACAGGACTCACTGATATATCGCCTTACCATGTCTTCCAGACATCTCAAAGAGCTTCACAGATTATACTGTAAAGTGAGTTGACTGTGTGTCTTGTGGATGTTTCGGACTATATCAAATGCAAGGATTATTATTATTATTATATCAAAAGCGAGGATGATTATTCTGAAGAGGCAAATCGGAGGAAAGATGATTTTAGAGAAAGGCTCCTGATCAGAGGAGTGATGAAGCATCAAGAAGTGAGTGAAACGGGAGATACATCCTAGGGGACTGGTGGATGACTAGACAGATTGTAGTTAGCGTTGTAACTGAGACAGTTTCTTTGTTATTAATTGTTCCCCTGCTCCAACTCTCCACCTGAACCTCTGGAGAATACTGGAAATCCTTAATTCAGCCTAAATTTTGAAACCGGTTCTTTAAAAGAATCGTGGAAATCCCCCTTCCAAATCCAGGCTGAATTTAAGGCTTTTACAAAAATTTTGCCCCATTTCATAAATCAAGACAATAATAATAATCTTGATAAGGTTCTATATCAGGAGCAAGAATAACAACAATAATCCTTGCATTTGACACAGCATTTATAACAAGGTGGTTCAAAGTGCTTTACAGGGTATTGCAGTCAAGTATAGTGACTATATTTGTTTCGCCCACAAAACACAAAATCAATTATTATAATAATAATAATACAAAATCAATTACAGTATAAACATGATGTCAAATGACTAACTTATCTGGTGGATCATTTATCGATCTTGAGAACAAAATTGTGAGAGGTTTAGACTTCAGAAGCTCTAATAGTCTAAATCCCGCACATCGTTATAAACCTAAATGTCTTTTATATTCAGCATTACTGGTACATTACTGGTTTCTCGTAGTGTGACTGTACATGGAGTCCTATAGCATATTGGTTAGAGCACTGGCCTCGCAGTGAGAAGACCCGGGTTCGATTCCAAGGCGGGGCAAAGCCTTAGGCAAATTTCCTTACTCCACACGCCTCTGCTTATCTTGCAGTAAGTAGGAACCCAGTTGTTAGTTGTTTCTCTTTCTCTTTGACCGTGCCTTCAGCTCCCCTCTTGACTCTCTTCCCCCTCCTCGCTCCCTCCCTTCCCTCCCCTCACCCTGACCATTTCCCCCCTCCTTGCTCCCTCCCTTCCCTCACCCTGACCATTTCCCCCCTGCTCGGGTCATGACCCAACTGTGCAGCGCCTTGGGACGTCCTCCTGACGTGAAAGGCGCTTTATAAATGGAATCTTGTTGTTGTTGTTGTTGTTGTTTGGCAGATCGCTTTTCCGGGGGTAATAATCCCTTCAAAAAATTGGCGGAAAAAAATTGGGTCAGTCAATCCATGACTGTTTGTGGGACATTGCTGCATGCAATTGGCTGCTGCGTTTCACCCACAAAATGCACAGTCAATCCACTTTACAATCCATTCTGTGAAGCACTTGGAGACGCCGCAACAATGTGATAAGGCGCTGTATCAAGTGAAAGGATTATTGTTATTACTGTTATTATTATCAGTGTTTATTCACAGGGTGAGGTTTTATCCATTGTGTGGCTCTACAGACTTCCTGGCTCTACAACAGGGCGAGTACTAAGCAGGAATGTGGTGACACCATTATACAGAAGCCCATGACGCTGAATGCGGAATGCCCCCGACTCTCCGGCTCTGATCTCAAACCCTGATCTCACCCCAGCATTAATGGATGATTTACAAGAGACAAATTCAATAAGTGACTTCCTTTTTTTTTGCCTGGATGGGAATTCACAACGCCTCTCTCCAGGGAGCTCATTTGCAACACTTCTTGTTGAGCGTGTAATTTAATCAGGAACAGGCCAGGTTCCTTCTCAGGGGCTCAAGGTTAACTCACGAGTGTCTGTGACAGTTTCGTTCAGCAGGCAAGGCGGTCGAAGGGTCTGGGGTGGGGTGGGGGGGGGGGGTGAGTGGTCAGAGCAGGGCGTTAGCTCAGCCACATTGACATCAGTGTCAGCCTGACTCAGTTGGTAGCACTCTCGCATCTGGGTCAGAAGGTTGCGGGTTCAAATCCAACATCAGCAACTTTGAGCTCACAGTCTCTAGGCTGATACACCAGGCGGTGCTGCTGATGTGCTGTATTGTCAGAGATGCTTTCCTTCGGATGAAATGGTGTGGATGTCTTGTAACTTAGCCATGACCGGCACTGCCTACCACCACCTCCGCAACATTGCCAGACTCTGGCCTGCTCCATGTCTCCTGCCCGACCCGCCCCTAACATCGGTGGTTGGGCTTTCAGCCTCTCTGCCCTCACTCTAGAACTCTATCCCACGGTCCCTTCGCGTCGCTTCCTCCCTTGCATCCTTCAAGGCCGGTCTCAAGACCCTTCTCTTTGATCGTGCGTTTGGTCTTCCTCTCACCTCTCTGCCTTCCCTCACCCCTACACCACCCCTCCCCCATACTCGGGCCCCGACATCTGACTGTTCAGAGCTTTGGGACACCCTCCCGACGTGAAAGGCGCTCTATAAATGTAATTTTGTTATTGTTGTTGTTGTTAGAGCTCTCGCCTCGCAAACGAGAGGACCGGGTTCGATTCCCGGGTGGGGTGAAACCTTAGGCAAGCTTCCTTACTCCACACACTTCTGTTCACCTAGCAGTAAAGTTGATCCCAGCTGTTAGTCGATTGGCGGATCGCTTTCCAGGGGTAATAATCCCTCAAAAAAAAATCTGGTCACTCAATCCACCACTTTTTTTGAGATACGGCTGTGCGCAATTGGCTGCCGTGTTTCACCCACACAATACAGTCTATCCACTGTTCAATATACTCTGTGAAGCTGCCCAGAAACTGAACTGAAACAGAAACTGCCCTGGTCAAGGTCACCAATGATATCCTGACCATCTGTGACCAGGGCTCCCTCTGCCTCCTCGTCCTCCTCGACCTATCGGCAGCATTCGATACGGTCGACCACGCTATCCTACTCCACCGCTTGTCCTCCCACCTCAACCTTCAAGGCACTGTCCTTGAGTGGTTTAGGTCGTACCTTTCACACCGTCTTCACTTTGTCTCTACAAATGGCTTCTCCTCCACCCCCCGCACTGTCTCATGTGGTGTCCCTCAGGGCTCTGTCCTCGGTCCCCTCCTCTTCACCCTCTATATGCTCCCCCTTGGTGACATCATCCGCAGACATGGAGTTAACTTCCACA